TCTCTAAATGAGATTCTCTTTTGCAAGAGTTGAATAAAGAAGAATGATGGTCATGCTCAATAATCCAATAAAAAAAGCATCTACCATGACGACCAGTAAGACTAAGATAAATGATTTCCTATTGTAGATTCCTCCTAGAAAAAAGAACAAAAGCTTTCTTCCAAAATCAATATTTGGTGCAATTGTTGCAAGAAAAAACAATAAAAGAGAAATGGAAGAAACTCAATAGAATGCTCCAAAACAATGGTGAACATAAGCCGTTCACACAAAAGAACAAGCATGTCATGTAAATTTAGAAGGGCTGAACTCTAAAGAAATTAGCAAACTCAAAGCTTCATAACCGCCCTAGAAAACCCTTGAAATCATGCACACTTACTCAAAATATTACATTTATTGATATTTGCGCTCAAATCACATAGATTATATCTTAGCAAGAAAGTCAGATATTAGTCATATTCTCCCTACTTATAATAAAAAATCAACTTAATGCTAATCAAGATGATCCACATAGATATGCTCATGATTATTTTAACCATATTTATCTTCTTTTTTAAATAAAGAAGATATCATCCATCAATACGTGTATCCTGACACCCATCAAGGGTAGCAAAAAGAAAACCAAAATCTTCTAAAAGTTACTAAAACTCTTCTTTTCCAACATCATATTCCAAATAAATGTTGGCAATTAACAACTCTAGCTTACAGATATCTAATCAATAGAATACCAAAAAAAATAATAGAATGCAAAAGTCCCTTGAATTGCACAATGACTCAAAATTCCCTCCAAGAATATTTGGGTGTATAGCTTATAACGACATCCACAAACAAAAGCAAGATAAACTTGATCATAAAGAACTCAAATTTATTTTTGTTGAATATTCCTCCCCTCAAAAAGAAAATAAATGTTGCCATCTTACCACCAAAAATTTATCACTTCAAATGATGTCGCTTTGGATAAAATATAAAGTCTTTTCAATCAAACTCGTCTTCATAGGAAAGAAAACTAACTAGAAGATTAGTTTAATGAAATTATTATCTTATATTTTAACATACTAATCACACAAGGTCCAATCATACTAACCCTTCAAATCAAGACGAGGAAGAGTAAGCCCACCCAAAATCTCCACAAGCTCAATACTCCAAACCATCATTGGGTAACAATAATCTATCAGCCCATCAACAAACATTCATCCCTAGATTTAATTTTTCAATACACATCCCTTTAATTTTTTTCTCCTACACATAAAGCTTTCCTTACAAACACAGCTCCAACTCTAATAAAATACCTCTAACTCTATTTTTGAGGCACTAAAAAATAAGAATTGAAAAAATATTATGAGAAAAAATATTAATGGCTCCAAAAAAAATCACACTTGGGATATTGTCGTGTTGCCAATAGAAAAAAATTGTGAGGCGCAAATGAATATATTCATTAAATAGAAAGTTGATGGAAGCCTAATGCGGTATAAAGCAAATTAGTTATCAAAATATCTACTCTATCTAATGGAATTGACTATGAAGAAACATTTGCTTCCTGTGGCGAAAAAAAATACAAATTGCATGTTATTACTCTTGCTGCTAATTTTGGATGGTATATATAACATTATATATGAAAAATGCTTCCTTAAAAAGGAATGTTGGAGAACTTAAATAGATCCTCCAAAAGGATTCGATAGCTTTTTCAAAGAAAATAAGGTGTGTGGGTCAAGAAAGGCACTTATGGCCTCAAACACTTCTCAAGAGCATAATTTGGTAGCTTTACAAGAGGCATGAAATGGAATGAATACAGGGAAAGTTAAAAAGATATGAAAAATTATAATTCTTATGTATATGTTGATAATATAATTGTCACAGTAAATGAGAGTAAAGGACAAAGAATAACACAAGAAAAAACTACATAAAGAATTCAAAATCAAGGAACTATACAAATTCAAATACTTCGTGGGTACAAAAATTGCTCAATCTGAATAAGAAATCTTTATCGCAGCAAAAAGATATTATGGACTTATCATAGAAAAGCAAGATGATTAAAGGTAAATCATATGAAACTCCAATCAAATTAGGTTAGAAATAAACACGTATGAAGAATATATAAAAGTGAATATCAAACAATATCAAATGTTAGTAAGAAAACTAGTCCATCTATCCCATAGGCGCCCTGACATTACCTTTGGAATAAAACTCACAAGCAATTTATGCACAAACCAAAAGAATTCAACTTCAAGCTGCTTACACATCCCTTGAGTATCTTAGATTAAGTCCTGTAAAAAAAGTTTTTGACAAAATATGATACTTTACAACTTTATTATACTGATGTTAACTACACAAGATCACCTGTGGATAGGAAATTTACTTCAGATGGTACACACTTCTAGGAAGTATTATAATATGAAGCAAAAAAGACCCTGTTGTTTCAAAATCTAACACTAAATCCAAATTTAAAGCAATTATCATGAAATCTACGAACACCTAAGAATAAAAATCACCTGGGTAGATTTTAAAAATAGGGAGAGAATATCCTGAAAAGATATACTTTGACAATAAATCTATAATCAACATTGTTCACAATCTTCTACAGCTTGATCATATCAAATATGTGGAATTTGACAGACAATTTATAAAAGAAAAAACTAACAGTAGATTGAGTTACACACGATATGTCCCAGCAGAAAAAAAACATGACAACATATTCCCCGAAGGGCTCAGCAACCCTACACTCAAGAATATTGTAAGCGAACTTAAAATGCTAGATCTCCATCATCTAGCTTGAAGAATGTTGAAGGGCAATTAGATAAAGGGAGAGCTAGATAAGGAAAAACAGATATCACGAATTCATTTTGTACAAGAAAATACCACTCCTATAAATCATATACTAAAAAAAAGAAAAACCTTGGCATCAACAAGCAATCCATAAATAGATCTAGAGGTGGGATAACTAGGAACAATTTTTGTGTTTGCTAATGTAATTATTTATTTTCTTTTTCTTTTCGTATAATTTCATTTATAAACACACATTGAAAGTATTAATAATTCAAGCACTCTTAACTAGTAGTTTTCTATAATTTTTGTTTGATTATTCATTATAATAATAATATCATTAAGTAATGTCTCAAAAATTGCTTCATTAGTTTACTGAATTGATTCTTCAATTACAGTGATAATGAATTGTCCAATTTCATATTCATGAATAGATTCAATTTCTATTTAAAACTTAGCTCCAAATAATGACCACATGCTCAATTTAGATCTCAAACTCAAATTTTGATTTCCGTTCAAGATAAAGGTTTAGATTTCTGAACATGATTTAATGGAATCTGTAGATTCCAATCAACAAAACCAAATGAAATTTCATATAATAACTATAAATCCTCTCTGACATCTAATTCGTCCTCAAAAGTTTATACACAAACTACAATTTTTTTTTTTCAATAGAATCAAATTCAATCATATATGAATCATATGTTGGCAAATGATAGATAAAAGAGATGATAATGATTTTTCTTTAGGTAAATTAAACATGGATGTGATAGGATGCTTTTAATATTTCTCAGTATCTAAAGTTCTGTAAGGTAACATTTAATGTCTCATGTCTCAAAATATTGTAGCTCAATTCATTGTTAATTTCTTACAAAGACTTTTAATGGAATAAATAATGATAACATAATAGTCTAAAAGCAATTAATATTTAACTACAAGATTTTTAAGCCTTATATAAGAGTCGAACACACTACAATAAATGAACATGTAGTTGATTTCTATATTCATTCGATGGTACATATTACTCTTTAAATTAATATTTCACATTATCCCACATAGATTTAGCAACAAAGCTTTGCCATAATTTATGAGCATGTCCTGCCGATTTAAAAAATTTTCTAAAGTTCATACCTAATAGCAGATGTAGAAATATAATCTTGAACCTCAATAAAGACATACTAATCCAACTTCATTTAAATTATATTATGTTATTATTTCTTTGATTGACTCAGTGATTATATCCTACTTTTAATTGACCTGACGGTTCAACTTTAAACTTTGATAGCAAATCTGATGCAGTTGGCCTAGAAGTTTGAAGTTTGTTAACATAATTATATGATATAATTCAAGAAAATCATGCACATACGGGTAAAAACTTATAGTCCATGAACTACCAATTAAAAAAATATTTATTTTCCATTGGTGCAAGCAAAAAATTTCTATCTAAATAGAATGCATTCACAAAGAATAAATGGATTGGAGATTGCATACTTCAAATCAGGTTCTTTAGCAGCTAAACAGAATTTTTTTATAAGATTCACAGAATTCAATGCATACAACAAACTAAGTGCAGATTTCATTCAACTAAAATTGACCTGAAAAAAATTACTTGCATAAACTTCACTCAGCACGTGCAGCGGCCAAAAAGCTCGCATAAATTTCATATTTGTCACTAAATGCAGCCTATACTAATGGGTCAACATTTAGGACCAATTCATGCAAATTATTGAGTGCCCCGATAATAAACTTCAATTACTAAAGGACTTTTGAGGGCAAGGATGTCACAAAACGTTAGGTAACAATCAAGAAAGCAAAAGCAATCAGCTTAAAATCCACCCCAAATCTCCAGATTTTTAATCCGACACACATCTTCACATGTATTGTGGTAAATAATTTCCTTTCAAAATTAGCTTTCATAATTACTTGTTAAAACAGATAGAGATTCAACATTCTGTACCTTCTCAATCACCTGACTGAATAGGCTTATGCCTTTCACTCTAGAAAAGCCTTAGTGAAGTTATGAGAGAGAAAAATCAATTAGGAAAATACAGTCGAATAGACTAATCCACTCTCTATAATTATATAAGTTTTCCCAAGAAATATAACATCTGCAATATTACTGGTAGTTAAAACTTCAAATTATCAATAATAAATAAGAAACATAAAGGCAGACCAAACTCAAGTTGTTGGTCTAGCAGGCATTGAATGGAAAAAAGTTGATACACAATTAGATGAAAATTTACCTGACCCTTAAGAATGGTAGCTAGTTTTAGATGCAGTGACAGCAACTGAAGCTTGATTTTTCTAGCAGTAACTGAGTCACGCACCTCTGAGGTTGTTATGCATTCATTATAAAGATTCTTCTGAAATGAATCAAAAATAAACTCTCAGATGATAACATTTAATTTTACTGAAAAAAAGAATGAATGATGCCATGAGAAAAAACATGTCTTGAGAGTAAATATAGACCCATACAGACAAAAATTAATTGACAAGAAAATAGGAAAAAAAAGAGAGAGCTAACAATGAAACTAGAATGTTTGCAGATGAATCTATAAGCGCTCGTGTAAACTCAATATGAAGCATCAGTTCAATGGAAATGATAAGAACCATAAATTTAGGCATTGCAGGCGAATTTATTTTAAGATCAAGTTATTTTCAATCTATAATGATTGTTGATGCCACAAAATTGACTTACACGCTCAAAAAATAAATCTTTCTTTACTAGCATTAACATGTTATGGTGTACAAGTCAAGTTATTGGCATCATGGACGCACTCAATGTTCCTCATCTGGATGATGAAAGCTCAATAAATTGTCATTCATGGGCATAAACCTCCCAGCTATTCTGTCTCAAATAGCGTCACATCATTAAGAAAATTTGTATCGATAAATGTGCTTTAGAAGCCCAATGCCCAACTATAATGGTTTGTAAAATCTCTCAAAAAAATTGTTGCAGCTCCTCTGTAAAATGTAGCTTAAGCCTCAAAATTGGTAACAACATATTTTTTTAATAAAGCTGCTTAACCTAAAATGACCATACTTTCAACATATATAATATTTTGGCTAACCAAAATATAAATCCACAAACAACGAGGACTTCATGTTGATTAGATGATGCCAAGATCATACATGCAATTGAAATATGTGTTAGTTTCAAAACATTTGCCCAAAGTAACTCAAGTCTCCTCCCATAAATTTACATTCAGCAACTTGAACATCTCCACGAAACTTACCTTTCAACATTTTCTCACAATTTAAACTCCAAATTCTTGATTAAATTTTAAAGTGAGAAGAATAATTTTCAGTCCAAATGCTGAACATGTCAAATGAAAGTAGCTTTTCCATCCAGACTCGATACCATACACCAAACAGAAACACACCCGCTCTTAAACAAAAGGTAAGATAAATAACCCATTCACTGCATATTTTCAAACCATATCCGAAGGCAAAAGCAAGAAAAGTGGCATATAATGCAAAGATTACCTCTACGTCCATTCTCTGAACCATCATAATCGTGTTGGTTCTTGCATTTACACACCTCCATTGTAAGTGCCTATTGTGCAATAGTCTCAATATATGAGCCTCTTCAATCCGATTCTCACCTTTCCTATTTCTCCTCACCTCAGCAGCGAAGCTTAAAATTGAAGGTGCATTCGCTGGTAGTTGTGCGGCTGAGGAATTTGCCAATGTACTGGTACCTCTTGACCGAGAGGGGCTAGCAATTACCCTGGATGGAGAGCCTACCAGTTTATTTGGACTAGAAGGCCTCACTGGCCCCTTGAGTGGGGAAGAAGCAGGCCGAGAAAAAAGGGAAGGGTTGTCAACCGATGTTCTCCTCACAGAAGCTAGCTTCGGTGTAGCAGAGTTCCTTGGGCCAGAAGAAGAAAGTGGTGTCCCAGGCTCCGATAGATGGCGAACTCTGTTGTTTGTCTCCTGCCAAAGTCTGGAAGCCACGCTAATGGCTCTGGAAGTAATCTGAGCCTGGCGAGGTGCATTTAGCTTCGGAGTCCCGGAATTGCTTCCAGAGGAAACACTGTCCACATCGGAAGAAGCTGACAGTTCTGCACCATCAAATGATGCCCGGCCTGTACCATCGTCGAATGATGTTGACTGCCGTAGCAACTGGACTGTTACAAGAAGGTCATTCTTCTCTGCGTAGCACTCTAAACTTTTGGTAAGCAAGCTAGATTGTCGGCTCCTTGCTGCCGGCCATCTTTGGTGAAAATCCGAGGGTTTCGAACTCTCCAACTGCTGCGCTGCACCGGTAGTGGAGTTCCTCGCCGGTGTGCTGGGCCGCCTGCGCTCCGGCGTTGGCTTCCGAGTGGGGGCAGGAGACGGTGTCTTCGCCTTACTGGTCTGGTAGAAGAACGATTCGCCTTGGAAGGAGACGGAGAGACTCCGAGTGGTTGTGCAGAGCATCCTCGCGGCGTTCGAGGCCTCGGCACCCCCACCACCGCGGGGATCTGGCCGAGGGCTGGAAGGGCGTGTTCGATCCACCGACTGCGACCGCTTCGCAGACGGCGTGGAGGGTCGAATGTTGGGGAGAGGAGAATGAAATCTCCGGGAAGAAGACGAGGAGGACGTAGACGTAGTGGTGTTCGAGGAGTAGGAAGTAGAGGTAGTAGATGAAGATGGCGAGTAAGAAGAAAGATACCTGGATGCGATTTCTTTAGTCTTAGGTCGCCGAGAAACAGCAGCATTGTCTCTCTCAGAGGGAGTTAACGGTCGGCGCAACGGAATCGGCGGCGGATCGTTGGGCCGATATGACGGCGAAGGGTTTTTTCGTGCCACGGAAACCTCGGAGGCCGAAACCACCATGGCCTCCGATGGGATCTCCGCTTCTACAAGGCCGCCTTGTAGTGATACCACACTTTCTTGGAGTTCGTCGCTGCAACAGGAAGGAAAGAAATCAGATCACCGTGGCTTACCCTCTCACTGGCTGCCTGCGGCGGCGCTGCGAAAGGGAAGAGAACCGCATGGGAGGGAGAGAGAGAGCGCGCAGGGTTTTGCTCTTTGGTGACCTGTTGTTATTAAGCGGAATGGGGGAGTGTGGAGCTTGCTGCTTTGCTAAGATAGTGAGAGAAAAGAACGGACCGGTGCTTACCGCCGAAGGAGAGGGAGAAGTGGCAGCGATCTTAGAATTAAACCAACATAATTTTATTTTGTAGTAAAATTTAGGCAATTAAATAAATAAATGTGCATTTTCATACATGTCACCTAACTCTTATGTATTGCATATTTACATTTATACCGCCCAATCTTTCCTATCATATAAAAATATCTCTCTCTTATGTATTGCATATTTACATTTATACCGCCCAGTCTTTCCTATCATATAAAAATATCTCTACTTTAACTTACATATATTTAAATATTTAGGCATTCCATATGTAAATATATAAAAATTTGTTGGCACGTATGTAAATGCCCTCATAAATATATTATAAAAGTTGGGGAACAATAAAGAGGTGATATGGGGAGAATTGGGATGCTTTATTTGCTGTTCGATGGGCCCGAGTGGGCCAGGCCGGGGACCGGCCTTTTAAGAAACGGTTATAGGTGTGCTCATAATGAATTGTTTAAGAGAGTTTTAGATCTGATTCGGGTGCTGAGTACTGATTGATATGCCTTCTTTTTCAAATAATATTTATTAAGAGTTGTACATAAATAAATAAATATATATTTTTTATATTATATTTGTTTTGTCTATATCATACATTCTTTAATCAATGTACAAATCTTCGTGATACCGGTATTCCTTCTGTTGAGAATCAAATAAAGTTAGTTGAGTGTATCAAATATCTTGGAACAATCCTTAATTTGTTTCAATACCAAAATAGAAACGATGATAATCCGTTGATTTTTAGATATTTAGCCATATATGGAATTATTGTAATACGGTTACATGTTTGGACAATGATCTGGATGCAGCTACAGTTTAGAGGGGGCCACACTATCGCGGATCGCGCGACTGTTCATACGGGTCGTCGTTCGGACATGCAGTCACCTCACGTTATAATTTATGGTATGAGTAGGTGTATGTTATAGACATAGGGCAAAATCACCAAATATTTATTTTTTAAAGTACACATCATGTATCTAGAAGGCCAATTCACTAAACTGCCTAAACATCAAAAGAAAATAACATTATATTTTACTATTTATATAGAA